GACGTGTGCGCTTAACAATGGGCCTGATGGATACAGCTCTGACATGAGTGCGCGTGGATGTGTGTGTGTGCTTAACAGTGGGCATGGCGGACACAGCTCTGACATGAGTGCGCGCGGACGTGTGTGTGTGCTTAACAATGGGATGGAACAGCTCTGACATGAGTGCGCGTGGACGTGTGTGCTTAACAATGGGCTGGAACAGCTCTGACATGAGTGCGCGTGGACGTGTGTGCTTAACAATGGGCTGGAACAGCTCTGACATGATTGCGCGTAAACGCGTGTGCTTAACAGCGGTCATAACAGTGGTCATGGTGGATACAGCTCTGACATGGGTGCGCGTGGATGTGTGTGCATAACAGTGGGCGTGGTGGATACAACTCTGACATGAGTGCACGGGACGCGTGTGCTTAACAGCGGTCATGGTGGACACAGCTCTGACATGAGTGCGCGTGGACGTGTGCTCTTGTCAGTGGTCATTGTGGACACAGCTCTGACACGAGCGCGCGTGGATGTGTGTGCTTAACAATGGGCATGGTGAACACAGCTCTGACACGCGCGTGGACTAACAATAGGCCTGGTGGATACAACTCTGACATGAGTGCGCGTGGAGGTGTGTGCTTACCAGTGGACATTGCGGACACAGCTCTGACACGAGCGCGCGTGGATGTGTGCGCTTAACAATGGCATGGTGAACACAGCTCTGACACGCGCGTGGACGTGTGTGCCTAACAAAGGGCATGATGGATACAGCTCTGACATGAGTGCGCGTAGACGCGTGTGCTTAACAGTGGTCATGGTGGGTCATGGTAGATGCAGCTCTGACATGCGCGTGGACGTGTGTGCTTAACAGCGGCCACGGCGGATACAGCTCTGACATGAGGCACTCATTGAAATCGGCGAACCTTCCACCCCGGCGAAAGGCCTGATTGGGAACAACTACAACAACAACAACAACGAGCGATACCAACGACACCAACAACCCCAGCAGCACCAGCAACACCAGCAACACCGACAACACCAACAACACCACCAGCAACACCACCAGCAACACCATCAACAACAACACCAACAACACCACCAAAAACACCACCAACAACACCAACCAACACCAACAACACCACCACCACCACCAACAACAACAACACCACCAACACCACCACCACCAACAACAACAACACCAAGAACAACACCAACAACAACACCAACACCAACAACAATACCAGCAACAACACCAACAACAACAACGCCAACAGCAACAACAACAACAACACCAGCAACAACACCACCACCACCACCAACAGCAACAACAACCAACAACAATCAACAACAACCAACAACAACGACCAACAACAACCAGCAACAACCAACAACAACCAGCAACAACCAACAACAAA